ACATATGACGTTCAATTCAAAATTTTTTATATTTTAGTAGTTATGCACCTCCCAAAAATGGACTTTGGTGGCTCGGGATAAGAGACTTGTAGCGTCTCAGAGTTTTTGAACATGGCCGGAGACGCTACCGCGTCTCCTGATAGATCTCAATGAAGTGCAGAGTAAGTGTTTTCGTATGCCTTATTGGCATACTGAAGGACATATAGATCCTATTCCTGATGTTTCGGTAATTACAGTCATTCTACATACTTTGGATTAGGATAATATTGGCCTTCATAATTCTTTCTAAGGCCTTCCGCATATGTTTTTCCGTAACATGTCATATAACGTTAAGTATTCATTTTACCTAAACTTGTAAAAAATTAGAACTTTGATCAATGCACAAACAAAAATATAATGTAACAAATGCTTCACGCATTATGATTTCTTAGTGTGTTGATTGAATTTCAAGTTTATGTACAGTTTATACTAATATTATGCTTTACGGAAGAGTGTGTGATGAGTCTAATTTTTGTTAAGATGAATCAACGAAGTGAAGAAAAAAACAGATCGGACGCTTAAAGAATTGCAATTGTTGGATAAAGATATTAAAAAATGTAATAAAAAAACAGACATATACAAGAACTTATGACACAAAATATGACCAAACCAGACAAAACTATACAAAAACAGACATCAGTGTCACAGCAATCCTCAGCATCATCATCCTTACATGTTCCATCATCCTCCTTGCCTGTTCTCGATCACAGCATTCACAATCTTCATTATCCTCCTTGCATGTTCCATCATTATCACCGTCACACAGACCTACTTCATCACATTTATCTTTAGTAGTCACTCAATCATAAGTAGGAAAAATTCCATCAGCATTAAAATTATCATCACAACGCAAACAAACATTATCATGCTCACCTTCATCATCCAAACAATCATTCACACAAAACGTCCATTCACCATCAAAACACAATATTAGGACCTTCTTCCTCCGTACAACGCAATTGCCTATCACCAGCCAAACATGAAGTTGGATGGTCAAAAGAAGTGGAAACATCTGGTGTTATAAATATAATGCGATCTCTAAAGTAAATTTCAAAAATAATTACACAAAGATTCGTCTATGTATACAAATAAAAACATCAAATTTTATTTCAGAATGATTATAACGAAACTATATGATATGGAAAAGCGACAAATTTCTATGGAAGATAAAATGTAAGTATAGATGATTTTATTAACGAATAGTCAGTAATTTCCTGAGGAACACACCAACTCAAAAAAAAGTAAAATGACGAATTGTGGTTACAAAATTTGTCTGTTTATTAAGTCAATAAATAGCTAAATTTCGTAACCAAAAAATGTCATTTTGATTTCTGTTGACTTGGTGTGTTCTTTGGATTATTGTTACTATAAATGAATTTTTAATCCCATAAGGCCACAGTACAAACTTTTTCATAACACATAACGCATAATAGGGAGTATTCCGATAACGCACATTGCTAATTGGCCAATTAAAAAATAAAATATTCTCATTGGTAAAGCAGTGAAAAATTATTAGGCATCGGCCGTGAGTGGACGTGTACTATCGCATTGTGTGCTAACGGGATCCTCTCCGCATAATACACAAGAGAATCTATAAATCAGAACCTTTCCTTTCCTTTCATTTCACGAAAAAGAGGAATTTTCATCGGTTGATTCTCTTATGCATTATACGTTATGCATTAGGAAGTGTTTATATTAGCCGTAACTGTATGCCGTAATCTGTAAAAATTGACCAATTACCTACGAATATTCTCTTTTTATAGTTCAATGAGAGGGGAATACTCGACTGTGATTAGCCAATTCTTATAGATTACAGAATAGGGCATTCAGTTACGACCAATATAAACGCTCTCTTATGCAAAAGTTTGTGCTGCGGTCTATAATTTTATTTTTTTCTTGCAATGAAAATGCAAGAACCATTAAAAGATTATTGCGAGAGTCTGCAGTAAGGAGACCAATAAACCCACAGGAGATTTCGTTTAGAACCGTGGATGATTTTTTGTCCTTTGAAGAAATTGATGATGAAATTTATAATAATTTGGTAAGACAATATTAAGTAAAAATCGACCAATGAGGTTAAATATATGCAAGTGAAAAAAGTATATTCGGTCAAGGCGGTTCTTTGTGTTTAATGATATTTCTTGTGAATTTATATAATTTTCAATTCAAGCTAACTGTGCACTGATTATTTGTCGGTCTTGAAGCACAGTCCTAAGTTCGGTTTATGAATATGACTTACAAATATGACTTTTTAACTTTAATATTTTATTTTAAATACTTACGTGAATTAAATAGCGACAATTCTTAATAGCGATAATTTAATGAAAAGTATCGAAATCCAAAGCTCAAATTAAACCTTCAATATTCCCTTTAATAAGAACAATCAAAATTGAAATTGTTTGTGACAAGGTTCAATAAGTTTTTAAAAACTAATATTTAAAGAGACAAGAGCAATGAGCCAATAAATTCGTTAAAATTTTTTTAAATTAATCTTTTTAAAAAAGATCCTACAAAGAAAATTACAACAGCTCTCAGAGATATGCTTTCAAGATGGAAGAGATGTGAATACATCAATGAATCTAAATATAGATTTTTGTACATCAGTGATGGGACACTGCCGAGGGCGTATGCTCTTCCCAAAATTCATAAAGCTAATTGTCCATTCAGGATCATTGTCTCTTCCATTGGTAGTCCACTACATCTTTTTGCGTCATATTTACATAGCATAATGTTTGAAGCGGTCCCTAAAGCCGAAAGTCACATAAAAAATAGTTTCCAATTGGTCAATACTATAAAAGGAATGCATATAAGTGAAGAATACAAATTGATTTCTTTGGACGTAATATCATTATTTACTAATATACCGATGGATATGGCAATTGATTGTATTAACGAAAAATGGACATATATTTCCAATAATTGCGATATTTCACAAATTGAATTTATAAAAGCCATCACATTTATTTTAGATTCTACTTATTTTACTTTTGACAATATCATTTATAAACAAAATTTTTGGACACCGATGGGCTCTCCGTTGTCTCCCATCGTTGCAGATTTGGTTATGCAAAGACTAGAAAGAACTGCCTTGATGTTGTATAAAGACAACGTTCTCTTTTATTTTCGATATGTTGACGACTTGTGTGCGGCTGTTCGAGGTTCTGAGATTGATTCTTTTTTTAAGACTTTTAATTCTTTTCATCCACGGTTACAATTTACGTTAGAAATCGGAACAAATTCTTTAAATTTTCTTGACATTTCGATCATTATCAAAGACAATAACTTATTTTTTGACTGGTACCAAAAACCCACATTTTCGGGCAGATTTCTCAATTTTTATTCAAACCATCCATTATCACAAAAGAAAAGTATAATCATTGGTTTAGTAGACAGAGCGTTAATATTATCACATCCAATGTTCCATAGTAATAATTTAATATTTATTATAAGAATTTTAATTGAAAACGATTATCCTCTAAAATTAATTTTTGATTGTATCAATGACAGGATCAAGAACATTGCACACGATAGTTCAAATAATAACAATGGTTTAAATGACAAGAATGAGGGAGAATCATCGGAGCTTCCTTCATGGTTTATAGTACCATATGTACCGAGACTTACAGATAAATTCAAACAATTTAACAGAAACAATATCAAGGTGGCATATTATAGTGCTAATAAGCTAAGAAAATATATTAAAGTACATAAAGATCCACTTGATTATATGTCTAAGACTAATGTGGTATATAAGATAAATTGTAACGACTGCGATGCGTCTTATGTGGGACAAACAGGAAGGAAATTAAAAACACGAATTGCAGAACACCGTAATCACATTAGATGGAATACGAGCTCTAAATCGGTGATAACAGATCACAGATTGGAACAAGGACATGAGTTCGATTGGAATAATGTACAAATTTTAGATGAAGAACCGTGTTATGGGAAACGTATTGTCGCAGAGATGCTCAACATTAAAAAACAGCAAAACAGTCTTAACCTACAAACGGACACATTAGATCTGCATGAAGCATATATTCCTATTATAAACAAGATATGACTTTGCATTACCAAAATCTTAAACATTATAGTTTTGTACGTCGAGTTAGTTGGACGGTTATAAAAGTTTTATATTTGGAACGACTTATATTTGTAATGTGTTAACGAAATAACGATTTTGATTGTCACCGAATTTTAATAAATGACTCTTTTAACGACATGGATTACTTGAGGGTGAGTTTTTTGTCAGAGGGACAATTGCTTGTCACATTGTTTTATTAATATAACGTTAATTTTGTGTCCTGATTAGTACCACAGGGATACATCACAAACGATCTTCCAATCGCTTGATGAGCTAAATTGTTCTCTCGGTGAAATACTCAACATTTTAGAACATAACAATCCATCATAGTAATTTTCTTGTTTTTTCTGCGTTAACTAAAGATGTTTTACTGCGTTAATTAATATTTATATGTTCATCTGAGGATGGCTCGAATATGCAGCCGAAACGTTATGATTTGACTTATGTTTGCGTGCGCTTTTAAAGTGTGAATTTATTGATATTTTATTTTAATTTATAATATATTAAATGTTTTATTAGTTCACACAATTAATATTGACTCTTAATTGCCTTTTTATTTCATTGACAATTTTTAATACTAAGAGTCCTGTATATTCATTTTATTTTAAATTAATCTAATATGGTGAAGTAATTATGGCGTTTCATCCCAGCTTCCACTACTGGACTAATCAGTAAGGCATTGTAGTGGAAGTCTACCTTAGACGCCTGGAAGTTATTTAATCGAGATTCTATATAAAGTGATATACGCATGTCAAAGCACTTTCGAAAATTTGCGTATATCGATAGACCTCTGATGGCGGGTCGGTAATATTCTTCGTAATATTTATCCAATGTAATATATGCTGTCCCCCCTCCTCCTAAATCAAAATTGAGTTATAAAAAACGTTTTATACAAAATGGCGGACATTGAAGACAAACTTAAAAAAAATAGGAAAAGAGATTTTTTCCTTTAAATTATTGCATTGTTCAGGAGAAATCGGTTGTTTAGCACAAAAATGTATGAGTTTTTAAGTTTATTGATTTCGTAACAAATCCATAATTTGATAAAGTTATACCGTAACTTTAAAAAAAAACTTGTTACAAAACGAATAACTTTCTTGTAAATTTAACTAATTAAAAATTAATATCGTGATTGTTCCGATAATCAAATACGCTAATAAACGTAATAAGTGTTTTGGTATAATGTTATTAAGAAATTGATTAACAGAACAATTGTTCCTCATAATATTAATTATGAATTAGAATAATATTTTTAAAATATAAATGTATACTTATGAAGATACACCTGATTGAAAATTGTAACTCACACCCATGTGCTTCAAAATCTTGAATCAAATATAGTGTTCTAGGTGAGAGATCAAAATAACAGCATCTTATATTTCAAAAATAAATCACAAAAGATGAGTATTAATTTTAAAAGAATACTTACGTGTTCCACAATCTTGAATTAAATATACTGTTCTAGGTGAGAGATCCAAATAACAGTTTTTTATATTTCAAAACTGAATCACAAAAGATCAGTATTAATTGTAATAGAATTTTTATATCAAATTGTCTATTTTAACGTAATACATTTTGTTATTAATAGATAATGAAATGGAAATTAATATGAAACAATCGAACTTCCGCGCGGATCAGCTCGTCGCAAATTTCGCTAGTCGCAAAAGAGGTTCGCACGGGAAGAGAGAATGCAGAAATAAATAATCAAACTCGACACAGTATTTTAAGACAAGAGACAGAAACGTTTATTTTGTATGATATGTGTGATGTACAGGTATCGGTGTGCGTGTTCGTGTAGATTTACAAGTATAAGTGTGTGTGTGTGTGCTCGTAGTGTACGCAGGTGTGTATATATCGACGAGACGGCAGACAGACGGGACGAATACAATGAAAACGAAAGACGCGGGCAGAAAAACAGCAAATATCAATTACGGCGCGAGTACTAAGAAAAACGCGTGGGGATCTCCGAATCCCAAGACGGACGCGAGGCGCGGTCGGCGGTATAACAATACAAATACGCGTACGCGAAATATACGCCAGCGGCGGATGACGGTCGCGGCGTGGATAACGCGGTGGGCGTTCCCTTTACGCAATGAGAGACGCTTCGCGGAATGTAATAGAACGGACACACTAACGACCGACTGCCAAGAACGCTTGGCGGAGGCAAAGAACACTTTACCCCCTTTTCCCGTCGGTGCGCTAGTTCTAGGATACTGGCGTACGGCTGTCGAGAACGCTCGACGGAGGCAAAGAACGCTTTGCCCCCTTTTCTCGTCGTAACGCTAGCGGATCAGGATATCTGGTGATCGATTGTCAAAAACGCTTGGCGGAGACCAAGAACACTTGACCCCCTTTTCGCGTCGTATCACTGGAGCTAGGATCGGAGCGGGATTCGTAACGGAGCGGCGGTTAGGATAGAAGAAGCTCTCGGAGCAATAATTACGCGTATTATACTTATTATTGCTCCCACTCGTATTATTCCGGTCTTTTTCGGTGTCGCTCGGCGGTCGGTAATCTCTGCGGAGGGGATTGACGATCGGCGATATTCGGTCGCGTTCAGTCGTAGCAGCGGTGAGCGCGAAGCGCAGATCGTTCGGCGATCTTCGGACGCGTTCGGTCGGAGCGGTGATTACTACTGTTGACGGCGGAAATTTCTAATATCGCGAGATATTTAACGCTCTAGGCGGCTGGTATCGTTGGAACGATGCATTGCAGGGTGCATCGTTACATCACCCCCCTCCTCAATAGTGTCTGAACCTAGAGGCACACAGGGAGATTAGCAAGGCTGGGCGATCCGAGAGGCCTGTGAGATTGAGGTAACGCCAACTTTAGGCGTCCTCGCTACCGTCACTGTCTTGGCCCTCGTTTTCGCTTGCTGTACCGTCGTCGATGTTGGTGACGTCGGAGTCATGATCCTCCGAATCGGTTTCGTCTGCTTCGGAATCGTCGTTAGCGGTGTGGGCTTGAGATCCTGAATATGTACGTGTCGATACCAGCGGCCATTCGCTTAAATCGTAGATAACCGGGGATACTACTCGTCGCACCTCGAGCGGTCCTTTAAATTTCGGCGCTAATTTTGCATTAAATGCGGCGGCTTTATTTGAGAGTGGATGCTCTCTTTTATACACCTATTTGCCAATTCGCGGTTTCCACGGTCTGCGCCTTAGATCGTAATAATGTTGTTGCCTTTGAAAAGCTTGTGCGAGATTAATTCCCACAAGTTCGTAGGCTTCCTCGAGGTGGCGGCGGGTAGCATCCGGCGGCGGAGCGGCGCTTTTACTTGCGTCTTTCGCGTTTGCCGGCGACAGTAGCTTCCGACCGAGATTTAGATACGCTGGCGTATACCCAGTAGCATCGTGATGCGCGGAATTAAAAGCGAACTGGAGTTCGGGGATACGGTCATCCCAGTTACGATGGTTGCGCTGCACATATTGCGCAATCATCGTTTTTACGGTGCGGTTCGTTCGCTCGACCGGATTACAATGCGGCGCGTATGCTGGCGTATACGTATGTCGGATTTCGTGCGCGGCGAGCAACTTGTCGAGTTGCTTAGACTTAAATTGAGTCCCGTTATTGGAAATTATATTTTCCAGACATCCGTGACGGAGAATAATTCGGTTTTTAATAGCCCTCGCGATGATTGGCGCGGTTGCGCGCCGTAGAGCCTTCATCTCGAGCCATTTTAAGAAACGGTCTTGCATGGTGATTCCATATGTTCCCTTTTTTTGATCGCGGTAGCGGCCCGACTAAATCAAGGGTGACATGTTGCCAGGGGCGGTGCGTGACAGTCGCGTGCATCATTCCGGCGGGCATGGCTTGGAGAACTTTGTGTCTCAAGCAATTTTTACATTCGCATACGTATCGGGCAATGTCGCGGGCAATTCCGGGCCAATAATATATTTGCATGACGCGTGCCATCGTTTTTGCGATGCCTAAATGGCCCGCGGTGACCGCGTTATGATTTTCGTAAAGTATTGCGTCGCGTTGTTCTCTCGGCACGCATTCCTTCCACTGTTGTTCGGCGGGGGTTTCTTTGAAATCTAGATTGTGCAGCAGGTGACGGTACAGCTTGTCGCCGCGGACCTCGTGGTCGGGATGTCTACGCGGATCGGCCTGAACGGCGGCGAATAGTCGGCGGTACTACGGACAGCGCGGCGGGATATTGGCAGCGACGGTGACTGGTTGACGTGAGAGCGCGTCCGCGACCCGGTTTAATGAACCATTTCGATATTTAATGTCGAATTCATACTGTTGGAGCTCGAATGCCCATCGTCCAAGGCGTCCCGTGGGTGAATTTAATTTTTGCAGCAACTTTAAAGACTAGTGATCGGTGATAACGATGAATTGATAACCTTCCAAATAATCGCGCATTCGGCGGATTCCCCAGATGACGGCGAGGCATTCGAGCTCGGTCGCGCTGTAATTCCGTTCGGCCTGATTCAGCGTGCGACTGGCATACGCGATGACCCTCTCCCCCTCCGGGAAGCTCTGCATAAGCACAACCCCGAGGCCGGTATTACTTGCGTCGGTCTGCAAGATAAAACGGCGCGTGAAATCAGGACAGGCCAGCACGGTAGCGGTCGTGAGCGTCTTTTTTAATGTTTCAAATGCGGTTTCTTCGGCGGGTCCCCACTTCCACCTTGCGTTCTTACGCGTGAGTGCGATAAGTGGAGTGGCTAATGTCGCGAAATTTTCTATAAAGCGCCGGTACCAAGATGCTACGCCCAGGAATTGGCGTATTTGCTTGACTGTTTTTGGTACCGGCCACTTCTCGATTGCGCTGACTTTTTCCTGATCCGTGCGTAGCCCGTCGTGATCCACGATATGACCGAGGTATCTTAACTGATCGACGCAAAACCGGCATATCTCGGGATTTATGCGGAGCCTAGCTTCCCGGAGTCGTTGAAAAACTTCGCGTAGTGTCTCTAGATGTTCTGTGAACGTACAGTTAATGATGATAATGTCATCTAGATACACGA